TTTGTGAAATCAAGGTGAGAGGATCGCTTGAAGCTAGGAGTTCAAGACCAGCCTGGGCAACATAGCAAGACCTACAAAAAATAACTTAAAAATTAACCCGGTGTGATGGGGTACATCTATAGTCCCAGCTATTCTAGAGGCTGGCATTAGAGGACTGCTCGAGCCCAGGGGTTTCAGGCTACAGTGAGCTATGATCAGACCACTGCACTCTAGCTTGGGCAACAGAGCAAGAATCTTTCTCTAAATAATAAAAATAAAACAAAAAATTAAAGTACTTTATTTTATTTTCACAGAGTCTCACACTGTTGCCCAGGTTGGAGTACAGTGGCGCAATCTCAGCTCACTGCAACCAGCGCCTCTTGGGTTCAAGTGATTCTCTTGTCTCAGCCTCCCAAGTAGCTGGGATTAGAGGCATGTGCCAACACACCAGGGTAATTTTTTTGTATTTTCAGTAGAGACAGGGTTTCACCATGCTGGCTACGCTGGTTGTGAACCCCTGCCCTCGGGCGATCTGCCCACCTCGGCCTTCCAAAGTGTTGGAATTACAGGTCTGAGCTACTGCACCCAGCAAAATAAAAGTACTTTAAATGTATTTAGGAAAATATAGGTCAGTTATACTGGAAAACTATTTCAATAATGTATTTTAAAACGTGCTTAACTGGACACAAGCAGATGGAAAAACATTCCATGCTCATGGTTAGGAAGAATCAATATTGTGAAAATGGCCATACTGCCCAAAGTAATTTATAGATTCAATGCTACCCCATCAGGCTACCTAAGACCTTCTTCACAGAACTGGAAAAAACCACCTTAAACTTCATATGGAAGCAAAAGAGAGCCCATATAGCCAGGTCAATTCTAAGCAAAAAAAACAAAGCTGGAGGCATCACACTACCTGACTTCAAACTGTACTACAAAGTTACAGTAATCAAAACAGCATGGTACTGATACCAAAACAAAGATATAGACCAATGGAATAGAATAGAGGCCTCAGAGGCAATGCCACACATCTACAACCATCTGATCTTTGACAAACCTGACAAAAGCAATGCAGAAAGGATTTCCTGTTTAACAAATGGTGTTGGGAAAACTGGCTAGCCATGTGCAGAAAACAGAAACTGGACCCCTTCCTGACACCTTACACTAAAATTAACTCCGGATGGATTAAAGACTTAAACATAAGACCTAACACCATAAAAACCCTAGAAGAAAACCTAGGTAAAACCATTCAAGACATAGGCATAGGCAAGGACTTCATGACTTAAACACCAAAAGCAATGGCAACAAAAGTCAAAATAGACAAATAGGATCTAATTAAACGGCAGAGTTTCTGCACAGCAAAAGAAATAATCGTTAAGAGTGAACCATCAACCAACAGAATGGGAAAAAATTTTTGCAATCTACCCATCTGACAAAGGGCTAATAATCAGAATCTACAAAGAACTAAAACACATTTACAAGAAAAAACAAACAAACCCATTCAAAAGTGGAAGAAGGACAGGTACAGACACTTTTCAAAAGACATGAGGCCAACAAACATATGAAAAAATGCTCACCATCACTGGTCATTAGAGAAATGCAAATCAAAACCACATTGAGATACCATCTCACGCCAGTTAGAATGGAGATCATTAAAAAATCTGGAGACAACGATGCTAGAGAGGACGTGGAGAAATAGGAACGGTTTTACACTGTTGGTGGTAACGTAAACTTGTTCAACCATTGTGGAAGACACTGTGGTGATTCCTCAAGGACCTAGAAATAGAAATTCCATTTGACCCAGCAAACCCATTACTGGGTATATATCCAAAGGATTATAAGTCGTTCTATTATAAAGACACATGCACACATATGTTCACTGCAGCACTGTTTACAACAGCAAAGACTTGGAACCAACCCAAATGCCCATTGATGATAGACTGGACAGGGAAAATGTGGCACATATACACCATGGAATACTATGCAGCCATAAAAAACAATGAGTTTGTGTCCTTTGTAGGGACATGGATGAACCTGGAAACCATCATTCTCAGCAAACTGACATAAAGAACAGAAAATCAAACACCACATGTTCTCACTCATAGGTGGGTGTTGAACAATGAGAACACATGGACACAGGGAGGGGAGCATCACACACTGGGGTCTGTTGTGGGGGACTGAGGGAGGGAGAGCAGGGGGTAGGGAGTTGGGGAGGGATAACATGGGAAGAAATGCCAGATGCAGGTGATGGGGATGGCGGCAGCAAACCACACTGCCATGTAAGTACCTATGCAACAATCCTGCATGTTCTGCACATGTACCCCAGAACCTAAAGTGCAATAAAATATACATATATAAAAAAATAAAAATAAAGTAAAATGTGCTTAACTTCATTAATGGGTAAGAATATAGCCATTAATTAAGGAAATTAACACTGCAAACTACCAAAGACATATAAACATACACAAACAAACAAGGTGTGTCATGGTAGCTTTGTTAGTGTGAAAAACTTTTTTTTTCCTTAAGATATTTTGAGTCTCTCTCTGTCGCCCCAGGCTGGAGTACAGTGGCTCAGTCTTGGCTTACTGCAACCTCCACCTCCTAGGTTCAAGCAGTTCTCCTGCCTCAGCCTCCCAGGTAGCTTACAGGCAACCACCACCGCGCCCAGCTAATTTTTGTATTTTTAGTAGAGATGGGGTTTTGCCATGTTGGCCAGGCTGGTCTCAAATGCCTGACCTCATGTGATCCCCCCACCTTGGCCTCCCATGCTGGGATCACAGGTGTGAGCCATCACACCTGGCCTGAAAAACTCTTAATAGCCTAAATGTCCCTAAGGGGAGAACACAGAACTAGTCAAATGAATTATGACATATCTATCACAGAATAGCAAACATCCATTGAAAAGAATGAGACACATCTTGAAATGCCACATCCATTTCAAAAGCATCTATTATATACTGAGTTTATTCACTTGACAAATACACGTTGTGTACTTACTACCTACAAAAGCTAGGAATGGTTCTGAATCAGAATAAAACCAGCATGGTTCAACCACTTGTTTTGTTTGTTTGGTTTGGTTTTGGTTATTTTTAGAGACAGAATCTTGCCCTGTTGCCCAGGCTGGAGTGCAGTGACCCTATCATGGCTTACTGCTGGCTCGAACTCCTAGGCTCAAATGGTCCTCTCACCTCAGCCTCCTGAGTAGGTGGGACTATAGGTACATGACATGAAGCCTGGCTAATTTTTTCATTTTTTGTACAGATGGGGGTCTCACTATGTTCCCCAGGCTGGTCATCATCTCCTGGCCTCAAGTGATCCCTAACCACCTAGGACTCCCCAAGTATTGGGATTATAGGTGTGAGCCACTGCACCCAGCCAGTTCCGGCACTTGTGGAGCTATGTTTTAGTGGAGACATATGCATCTATAGCACAGTTAAATTCAAGAAACAATATTACACCTGTATCACTGTTGTTTTACTTTCCTAATAATACAAAGAACTAAATTCCTCATTGTGTTCATCTCAAAATGGGAAAGAAGCAGTAACGAATGCTCTTACCAGTTTCCCTCCAATCCACATGTCTGGAGGCTGGGCCAGCACTCCTCTGAAAGTGGCTGTCTGTTCATACCCAGGATGACCCTTCTTACTTTTGATCACTTAACCTCCTTCTATCAGCAATTCTCAGTTTTTATAAAATCTCTTCTTATGGCACACAAATTTAAATCAGACTAGATTGCTAATTTTAAACTTTTAAGTGGAGACAAACATGATTCATATTAAAAGGAACCATGCATATAAACATTCAACTTATAAAAATACCTAAGTATGTAGGTTTAAAAAGTCAAGAGCTAAACAGCACATCTTCACAGAATTTAAGACCCTGCTCACACCATTTAGAGACACGAATTATACCTTGTCTATATGCGTTCAGCCTAATTTTATAGTAAAAGAATCCCACATCAATTGTAAACCACATGAAAAGAAAGTAAACACGTTAACTAAACTCTGAATCACGTTTATATGAATATAATATAGGTCAAATTCTATAGCTATTATTCCATTTAGTAAAAGTGCTTTCATAGTGCTTATTTGCAAATGTAGGAAGAGGTTTACTCACTGTAGCAGCTTGAATAGTGGCACCTAAAAATATATATATATATCCAACTCCTAATACCTGGTACCTATGAATATGACTTTCTTTGGAAATAGGGTCTTTGCAGTTATTATTAAGGTAAGATGCTCTTGGACCTAAATCCAATCACTGCTGTCCTTGTAAAAGAAAGGAGGGTGAGATGAAAAACACAGAAAATAACCCAGAGAGGAAGGCCACATGAAGGCAGAGGCAGGGATACGTCCACAAGCAAGCCAAGGAGCATAAAGGGCTGCCAACAAGCACCAGAAGCCAGGACAGAGGCATGGAAATGATTCTTCCTCAGATTCCAGAATGAACCAGCACAACAATAACTTGATTTTGAAGTTATGACCTATGAAAAGTTAAATTTTCTTTGTTTATACCACCAAGTTTAAGGTGATTTGTTACAGCAGACATAGAAAATTGATATATACTCATCTATAAAATTTGACCCCATTATTTTTATATGTCTATAAACCAAAGAGGAACAAATGATAGAAATAATTTTTTCTACTCACAAGCTATTGGAACTCAAATATAAAGCTGCCTTAACAGTGCTAGCATTACAATTTATGATTCTGATGACCACACTGTAATTTACTAGATACACCCATGAAGTAATTGTTTTCATTCTCTAAACTAGAGAAATGTCAGTTAGTCAACAAAAATACAAAAGGTAGAAGATAGTAAATGGAATTAAATAACACTAAAGTTCGAGTAGTTGTAGGAAAATAACCAAAATAATGATTTGTTTAAAATGTAGTAAGTCTCAAAAGTAATTACTAAAGAAGAAAGAATTTAACAATTATCTATAATTTAGTATTTGTTATAAAACAACGTCTTCATTGTAGAAAATCTGGAAAATCATTAGAAAAAATTACAAAACTCACCTTTAGAACCAAAGCCCATCTTTGCAATCTCTCAACTTAAAATGTGAAACTAGACATGTATTTCCTAGCCTGTGAGCTAAACAACCTGATCTTAAATTGTTCAAATAAGGCCCATCACTAAATGCCTTTGTTTACAATTAGGTTTATATGCTACTTACACAACTATGAAATTGAGAGTCTATGATGGAAATTCTGATCTAATTTTAACATAAGCCTTATAATTGAAACACACAAATGGGAACTACAAGGAGGGTTTTATTGTCATGGGGGTTTCCAGCAAGGTGCTTTCCCTTGATCATTTTGGGTCCTAAGCTGTTCTGGTCTCTAATCATAATTTACATATCAACCAAATCCTCAATTTTAGAAATAATATGTGCAGAAAAGCAATATTAACAAATTTTATTCAAGAGCTCTTGACTAATGGTCTTCCAGATTTCCATTACATTTTTTCAAAAAATAACCATCAATTAGATGCCATAAAATAAAGAAGAACAGTTGCCATGCAATAACAAATGTTGAAATACTGAGAATGAAAAATAGCTTGAAAACTCTTGGCAAACCAAATCTTTGAATGCAGGTACATTTTTTGTTATTATTTTTGTTTTTTTGAGATGGAGTCTCACTGTGTTGCCCAGGCTGGAGTGCAGTGGTGCAATCTCGGCTGACTGAAACCTCTACCTCCAGGTTCAAGTGATTTTCCTGCCTCAGCCTCCGAGTAGCTGGGACTATAGATATGCGCCACCACGCCTGGCTAATTTTTTTATTTTTAGTAGAGACCAGGTTTCACAATGTTGGCCAGGCTGGTCTCAGACTCTTGGCCTCAAGTGATCCACCTACCTTGGCTTCCCAAAGTGCTGAGATTACAGGCATGAGCCACCACGCCCAGTTGAATGCAGGCACATGTTTTAATATTTCATTTAAATAGCCATGTTTTTTTGTTATAAAAGGCAAGTCTCACTAACTCCAGGTAAATTTTTAAACTAAACCCTCTACTATTTAAATGTTTATTCAAAATTAGACAGCATCCTCATTCCCTCAGTGTGGGCTGCACACAATGACTTCCTTCCAAAGAATACAATATGGAAAAGGGTTGGGGCAGGGAGTAACTTTGCAGTAGAGAAACCAGACAAACATTACCTCTGCCATATGATCAGGGTCAACACCAACAGTTACAAATCACACTGACAGCATGTACTCTTGACATGATGTGATGAAAACAGTACTTCACCTCTGTGGTCTTCATCCCAAAAACTCATAACCCTACACCCATCATGAGAAGAACATCAGACACATTCCAATAGAGGGGCACTCTACAAAATACTTAATGAGTACTCTTCAAAATAGCTGGGTCATCAAAAACAAGGAAAGTCAGCAAAGAGGAGCCTAAGAAAGCATGACAACTAAATGTTAATGTGTTATATTGATGGGATCCTGGATCAGAAAAAGGACATCAGGTAAAAACTATGGAAACCTGAATAAAGTATAGACTTTGGCTAATATTAATGTATCCACATTGGTTCATTAATTCTAACAAAGGTACCGTACATGTTAACAATAGAGGAACTGGGAGACAGATACATGGAAACTTCCTGTACTTTCTTCTCAGGTTTTCTGTAAATCTAAAGTTCTTAAAGTCTACTTAAAAAAAAAAAAAACCAACTGAGGTTGTTCTAGATAAGACTTTTCTAATCACCCACATGTAAAAGCTTAAATTAATGAAAACAACTAGACTGACTAAACAGTTTCTAGCACTAAAATTAAATCCACATTTTAGGGTACTGAGAGGCAAGATAAAGGGAGACCAGAACAACTCCACCTTTTTAACCAAACATTTACTGTGGTAAGAATGTAAAAGTTCAGTCTCAAAACCACATAGCTATTAAAAAATAAGATTAATTTTAAACTAATAAAAATGACAAAAAAAAAAAGTATAGCTCAGAAGAGAATTCTTTTAAAGCAGAAAGCCCAGATCAGAAACCCAGACAGGAAGTATGGTCCTTCTTCCACCATCTTGGACTACAATTTTATATGTCTGAACACACTTGACTGTGTTTCCTCATTTACATAATGGAAACTGACAACAGCACAGTGCAATACCCAAAAGATGCTAGCCTGTCATAAATAAAAATATAAAATTCTTAGTCTTATACTTCACTTGTCATCTGCTAAAACCAATGCTTTCTTGGTGAGCTATGCATCAGTCCGAAGACAATCAACCAAAAGAGAAAGAGAGAAGGGGTACTACAAAAGAGGGAAAAGTAGGAATAGCAGCATTTAACTATTTATATTAGCATTTTCCAGGCCCTCCTTTTTACATTTTTTTACATCTCTCCCTGAAAAAGTATCCTCATGAGTCCAGGTACAGCAATCCATACCTATAATCCCAGCACTTCGGAAGGCTAAGGCAGGAAGGTTGCTTGAGCTCAGGAATTCAAGACTGGCCTAGGTAACACAGCAAGATCCTGTCATTCATTCATTCATTCATTCATTCATTCATAAAGCCAGGCATAATGGTACATCTCTGCAGTCCTCCTAGCTACTTGGGAGGTTGTGGCAGGAGGATTGCTTGAGTCCAGGAGGTCAAGGCTGTAGTGAGCTATGATCACACCACTGCACTTAGCCTGGGTGACAAAGTAACACCATTTCAAAACAAACAATCCAAAAAGTGTCCTGATGAAACTCTCATTTCAACTAACACTTACTAAGATATCCTGAAAATAGTTACACCGTAATTCACCAAACTTAGGGTTCTAATGCAAATCAGGCATTGGAAATAACAAAAGTAAATGACTATCAGATCCTGCCTTCAAGGGGTCTACACAGAGTCAAGTAGTAGGCAAGAGGCAAGACAAGAAAACGAGTACCATTGTTGACGGGAGGATGCCATCAATTAGAAGATGCACCCTAATTACAGAGGTGTTAAAATAAGAGTTTTTTTTAATGTGTGCCTTACAATGGAGGAAATACTATAGTTTGTGTGGTAAGTGCTAGAATAAATTTAGAAAAAGATCCTATGGAATGTGAATGTACTGCCATTTAACACTTCTACTCTAAGAGGTGTTAGGGGGAATTCCACAGATTCTCAATCATCCAAGTTAGGGAAAAAGAGAATTCAAAATGTATACACCTTACCAAGAACAGACTTATTTGCAAAATGCAAGACAGACTTTAAAGATGCAGAACATCAGTATTAATAAGATCTTAGGCCAGGCATGGTGGCTCATGCCTGTAATGCCAGCACTTTGGGAGGCCGAAGCAGGTGGATCACCTGAGGTCAGGAGTTCGAGACCAGCCTGGACAACACGGTGAAACTTTGTCTTTACTAAAAATACAAAAAGTAGCCGAGTGTGGTGTCAGGCGCCTGTAATCCCAGCTACTCGGGAGGCTGAGGCAGAAGAATCGCTTGAAGCCAGGAGGCAGAGGTTGCAGTGAACAGAGATCGTGCTATTGCACTCCAGCGTGGGCAACAAGAGCAAAACTCCGTTTCAAAATAAAATAAAATTAAAACCTTAAAATACAAGATGAATTCATCCTGACATTTCACTAAATTATTTGGGAAACAAAATTCAAAATTATTTTAAGAAATGTAGCCTCAGCTGGGCACAGTGGCTCACGCCGGTAATCCCAGCACTTTGGGAGGCTGAGGCGGGTAGGTCACAAGATCAGGAGATGGGGACCATCCCCGCTAACATGGTGAAACCCCGTCTCTACTAAAAATACAAAAAATTAACCAGGTATGGTGGTACACGCCTGCAGTCCCAGCTACTCAGGAAGCTGAGGCACAAGAATCGTTTGAATCCGGGAGGCAGAGACTACAGTGAGCCAAGGTCACGCCACTACTCTCCAGACTGGGCAACAGAGCAAGACTCCATCTCAAGGAAAAAAACAGGAAAAAAAAAAATAAAGAAATGTAGACTCTACCAACAAGAGACAATCAGTTAACTTACTAGTTTTTCCTCTTGATCTTTCCCTACAAAACAAATCACTGCAAGCTCGAAATATACAAAGGGGAGCTGAGCACAGTGGCTCACACCTGTAATCTTGGGAAGTCAGGACGCCAAGGCAGGAGGATCGCTTGAGCCCAGGAGTGCAAGGCTGCAGTGAGCTATGATTGTACCACTGCGCTCCGGCCTGGGTAACAGAGTGAGACCCTGTCTCTGAATGAATGAATGAATGAATGAATGAATGAATGAATGAATGAAGAGGATAACTGTAAAATAAACCACATTTCTAAAACAGAATCATGTTATTTTAAAGGGAAGCAGGAAGAAAAAAGAAATCATTTTTATTATATTTCCCCTCACTGCTAAGACTAAAGCTGTGCTTTACACAGGAAAAGAAAATCCTGTCTTCGCAAACTCCTGCAGGCTTTGCTATGTGTAAATCCTAGAGAAATATCTGTGAAATGAGTAACTATCCTAATAAATCCTATATGGATGTTTACATCTTTTAATACTTGAGTGTAGCCAGGCATGGTGGCTCACATGTAGAATCCCAGTACTTTGGGAGTCCAAGGTGGGCAGATCACCTAAAGTCAGGAGTTTGAGACCGGCCTGGCCAACATGGAGAAGCTCCATCTCTACCTACTAAAAGAACAAAAATCAGCTGGGCGTGGTGGCATGCACCAGTAGTTGTAGCTACTCAGGAGGCTGAGGCAGGAGAATCACTTGAACCCAGCAGGCTGAGGTTGCTGTGAGCTGAGATTGTGCCACTGCACTCCAGCCTAGGCGACAGAATGAGACTGTTTAAAAAAAAAAAAAAAAAGTACTTGAGTGCCCAGGGATGAGATGGCACCTATTCATTAAAGTATCCTGATAAGAAAAGCAAAACCCTTCTCTCACAGCAAAGCTCCTGAGCCCAGCAAGGTGTGCCTCTACCTATGTCTCCCAGTGCTGTGGTCACTCCAGCTCAGCAGGGCAGTGGAACAGCTGAGACAAGAAATGTTTCCTGAGGAAGGCAGAGTGTTTAGGAAAGATAACCCATACATAGAGATTTTGTAGATTCTTTCAGTCCCCACTTTGGACTATTCAAAAGTAAATATAAATCAGACTTTCAGAAAAATTAAGTATTAAACGTCAACTTCCTTCGGGGAAATGTATCTGTAGACTTTGAGTTACACTTACTGTACTGACTTGGCAACAATACAGCTATAGTTCACTATGTGTCAGGCACTAAGTGCTTTACCATATTAATTCACTGAAACCTCACAGTACATGAACGTAAGTGGTCTTATTGTCTCTATCATACAGGTGAGGAAAAAGTACAGGTGAGGAGACTTACAGTAACTTGCCCAAAGTCACATGGCCCGTAGTATGGAGCAGATATTGATTCACAGCAGTTCTGGCTCAATTCTATGCCCCAAACCACATCATTACACTGAGAGCTACCTTCAGTTAACAAAAATAAATGTACTGATCCTGCTTTCTCTAGATTCATAAAATAAAATGTCCAGATTTTCTCAAATCCATCTCCCCACACACCTC